AACTGGCTGCTACTAGCTGATCATGGAAAAAAGTCTATTAAATATTCCTGAAGAATAACAAGCAGGCTTATTGCTGTTGCAGGTAGGCTGATACCTTCTGCTTTCACAGATTAGAGTACTGCAATCATATTTCCTAGATATTGATCATTTATTAGGAACTCTTTGGAAACGTGGATGTAACATCGAAAGTACTCCAATGCTCCAGCTACGAACTCTGGCACAAAGGCAAGTATATGAATTACAGCCTGGGTTTCTTAGTATCAGAAGATAGTAGGTGCTGTTTTGCAAGGTGAAAAAAGCTTACAAGCATAGCCCAGCAGAGCACAGCAGAATCTGAAAGCTAGACTTCTGAAAGTTTGCATCATTAATTCTAGCTCACACAGTTCAAATGTGTATATCTACATCTACAACCAGTTTTGCAAACAATGTGCAAGTCTTCCAACAACATGACTTCTTATGAAAAATTGTGCTGAAATGGAACATGGTGGAAACTTATGATATGAATGTCTTTGCAGCTTTGGAGCCAAGAATTGTAAGCAGATGGGATGTTCAAAATTATGCAAGAAAGGCCTATGATTTAGGAATTCGTTATATTGGAGGTTGCTGTGGATTTGAGCCATATCACATCCGAGCAATAGCTGAGGAGCTGGCTCCTGAAAGAGGATTTTTTCCAGAAGCTTCTGAGAAACATGGTAGCTGGGGCAATAGCCTGAGCATGCATACCAAACCCTGGGTCAGAGCAAGGTATGTATGTCTGACCTGGAGAGCACACCAACATACTCCTCGCAAAAGCTTGTATGGGTCCATGCAGCAGACTGGCTTAACTGATTTGTAGGTCTAAATATTACTATAAAAATTCAATGTGTTAACAATTTTGAAGAATTAAATCTGACTGGGGATGAGGGAAAGGGGTGAAGGGGCAGTTAGAGAGGTGCAGAAATTCTCATCTGTCTTTAAACTGAAGATCTGATCTGAATTAATGTGGAAGTAATTAATGACATTTAAGATTGAAAACCGTAAAACAGATCTTAATGGTGAGTTTCTTACAATCTTTCTTTCATGAAAAGATGCTTTTTAAGTATGTAGCATTTCATTGCATGTTTTCATTCATACTTCCTTATCTAAATAGAGAAACATGTCAGTCTGTGCAAGTTAGATGACCCTCTGCAATGGTCATTTAAGACATATTTCCTTTACTATTGTAAGGTGCTGGAAAGAAAACCACCCTGATTTTCCTTTTTCTTTCTTTAGGGCAAGAAAAGAATACTGGGAGAATCTGAAGCCTGCTTCAGGCAGACCATATTGTCCTTCAATGTCAAAGCCAGACGGCTGGGGAGTGACCAAAGGATCCAGGGAGCTAATGCAACAGAAAGAAGCAACAAGTGAACAACAGCTGAAGGAGCTCTTCCAGAAACAGAAGTTCTAATCCACTGCATTCTCTGTTAGTTAGGTGCCATTAATTGGGTAGACACAGAAATATGTGAAAAGTAATAATTGGCTTAACCCACCTGTGAAAAGAGAAAAAGCCTTCTATAAATACAGCTGTCAATGGACTTCCACTCCTGAGTCTGTGTTCAGTTTAGGGTTATGTAGGAGCTTCCTGAGACCTCAAGGTTTGTTGAGGACTACTTCAGGGACACACAAGCTGACAGACACACAGTTATCTGCAGTTGCTTTCTTGATTTCAAAAGAATAAAAGTAAAATGGAAAAGACATCTTACCTTGGAATAAAAATATAATAAGATCTTGCAGGAGTTTCTTATATGGAGGTGAAAGGTTCAGAGAACTTTTAAGAAAAAAAGTCATTCACCTGTCATTTTTCTTTCTTGAGTTACTTAGATTTACTTATCTGGAGACTAAAAGGCTTAAAAAATTATTCTGAAATTAAATAAAGTTAATATGATGGAAGAGTATTGTATTATCTTCATACCTTAAATCACAAGAGCTCAAACGGAATAACATACCTTTAGCAAACAACTGATTTTCAAATTGATCCAGTTGATTTCTGGATATTTAATTGGAAACACTAATTTATCTCAAAGTGTCACTTAAAATGGAGTTTCTTACAATATAACTCCTGTTAATAAGAGAATGTTTCATGATTTATTTTTTTAAAGCTGACTTATTGACTCTAGAATCTTAGCTCTAAGAAGATATAAAATGGATCAATTCACAAATTAAGAATACCTGTGGACATTTGTACACTGCACTTGTTGAGAAGGGTTTTCTTAGGAAGAATATCACTACACCTGGAAACTATGAAGGCCAAATCTCCATAGCTTATTTTTGTGAAATATCATACAACTTAGAATTCTCTCTAAAATATCATTCCCAACTATTCTACATTAAAGCTACTACCTTTATGAAAATATTATTCTCGAACCTAGCTTTTGTTGGACTATATTTTATGTATTAGCTTATTTCATTATTACTATCCATGTTGATATTCTGCAGTATTTAAAAATGTAACATTTAAATGGGAAATTTCAGGTATCCTTTTCAGACTGTTACTGGGAGACAGATTCTAGAAAAAAGCCATCTGCCTTCCCCAAGCTTATAACAGATTGAAATAGTTGCGAGCTGGAAGTTTTGCCTGAGAGCCAAAAGTAGACAAATCAAGACAGCAGATAGTTTAAAAAGTAGATTTGGAAAGCATAAATGTAAGTATATATGCACCTCATTGAAGTCATTTCCTTCCTAAAGCCTTCTGGATATTTCCCCTGCAGAAAGTAGGGTAATGCAAAATCTGCATAACAAAAACGCCAGATCTTTAATCATCACCAAAATGCATGCAATGTTAAAGACATACGCATGATAAAGTGTCTTAAAATAGAAGCTACAATTGATGAAGTGTTTTGAACAACCATTACCAGTTTAGGGACTTCTGTGGCAAAGGATGCAGCTCGACCATCATACTCTATACAAGCAGCTAGAGTGATCTTTTTGAAACTACCCAAACATGCAGAAATTGTACCAGAGTGCTTGAGTTCAGAAGACAACACTGGTTGTTGTCAATGGTATTTAAGGTGATCAAACATGATTTTAAGCATTTATTTTTAGATAGACAGTTTAAAAAGGATGAATTTTAATAGACACTAACAAAAAGAAATATTTAAGAGGCTATTTGAAGCCATTCAAAAGGAGGGCTGACCCCAGAGAGAAGCTATACAATTCCCGTTTGATTCATATCATAGGCTGGGCTTACAAAGGAATTGACAGTAAAATGAAAATAATTGTCAGAATGCTTTACTGATCACTACAGAATCCCAAACTACCACCCCCCCAAAAAAACAACCCAACACACACACCCTCAAAAAACCCAGCACACAAAATAGAAAACCTGAGCAGTAAACTCAACAAAGCTTTACTTCTCATTTCTTTCTAACAACTTAGTGAGGGGTTGTCATGGTTTAAACCCAGTCAGCCACACAGTTTCTACTCCCTCCCCCTCTTTCTTTTCTTCCCCCATTCCCCCCACCTGCTCCCAGGGGGATGGGGAGGAGAATTGAAAGAACGTAACTCCCACGGGTTGAGATAAGAACAGTCCAGTAACTAAGGTATAACACAAACCACTGCTGCTGCCACCAATAATAAGGGAAATAACAAGGGAAGAGAATACAACCGCTCACCACCTGCCAACCAATAACTCGCCCCACCCTCCCTGACCAAGCACCTAGTCCAATACCTAGTCCAGCCCCACAGTGAACTAGCCCTTCCGGGTAACCCTCAGTTGCATCCTGGGCATGACATGCTGTGGTATGGAATACTTCTTTGGTCAGTTTGGGTCAGGTGTCCTGTCTCTGCTTCCTCCCGGCTTCCCCTCCTCCCTGGCAGAACATGAGGCTCAGAAAGTCCTTGGTCAGTCTAAACATTTGAGCAGTAACTAAAAACACAGGTGTTATCAGTGCTGTTCCCAGACCGAAAGTCAAAAACACAGCGCTGCACCAGCTACTAAGAAGGAGAAAAAATGACTGCCACTGCTGAACCCAGGACAGTGGTAAGGAAAATGCTAGACGTATTAAAGCTGTCTAATGGTTTATTACATGACTTGTTAAGGAAATAAGACAGGTTGACAGCACAAACCTAGGAAATTTGTTTCCTTAGAAAGCCTGTCTGAAAACTTAGAAAGGAAGTGAAAAGAACTTTTGAAGGTCAACTCCTACATTTAGTACCCTAAGGTAGGATCAGCTGTTCATAGGGAAAGACACTTGCTTAACCTGTTTGGAAACACATTTAATGATGGAGCTTCCATGCTAAATCCAGGCAGTCTGATTACTTCACTTTCTTCTTAAGAAATTATTCCTGATTTGAATATTCCTTGATTGAATTTTAATCCATTATTTCTTCCCAGCTCTTTGCAGACATGAAGAATTTATTCCCTTTATATTTGCTGAAATAGATTTACATGCATTCCCTGTTTCTCAGCTGTACAGACACTGCTCATTTTTCTTTCCCTGTGGCTTCTGAGTCTGCAGTTCATCATAACTCAGAGATCACCTCCATCAAGTCTTTTCCCAGAGCTTCCTGCTTCCTACATCTATGTTTGGTTGGTTTGGGGGTTTTTTTGTTTGTTTCTTTCTTTTTTTTACCTGCAAGCAGAAGTGAAGTGATATGAACCTTGGAAGTGCAGTTCCAGAAGAGAAAATCCAAAATCTTTGCTACCTAAAAAGTAAATCTTTACTCACAAGACTGTTGAGTGTCGGGACAAGAGGGATCTGAACAAACAATAAACTTCAGAAACTACAAGTTCCAATAAACTTCAGAAACTACAAGTTCTCTGTGCTGCATATACAGAGATGGCTACACAGTTAGTCAGTTCTGAAGTTTTCCAGAATCCCATGCAAAAAAAGGCCTAAACCCCTGCTGTTTAACGGTCAGTTGTTGACCTAATGTATCTGTAGACTGCCAGGAAAGCAGACGGGTTTTTGGTAAAGAAGAAAATTTTGGAATAAGGTACAAAATCACAGAAACACCTTCCCCCCCCCCCCCCCCCCCCCCCGCCCCGTTCCTTTGAAAGGAGAGTTTTCTAAGAATCCTGCCACATCTGAAATCACACATTTCTTCATAAAGCAGCCTGTAGCTCATGCCTTCTTTTTCAACTCTATAACCAAATGCAGTGGCAAGTTCAGTGTCATTTTTTAACTTAAGCATTAAAATAAGTGGATTCATAGATCTGTCTTGTTCTGTTCCATGGAGTTTATAAAATATCAAGCATAAACTAATCTCAATTAATCCAGCAATGCCTTAATATTCTGCCCATCCTACTTCAATACTGTCTTATACTTAATTTATTTCAGCATCTTGCCTTATTATAAAAATTCTTCATTACCTTTTCTTTGTGTTCCACTTTATTGACAGAGATGTTATCTGGGGTAAGTTTTATTTGAGATATCAACCTCCACTACATACAATTTTGTGGAATTATGGCACTAAGTTTGGTCGATGGTGTCTACCTCTGTATATCCACAACTCCTGAGACAGTAATTTATTGCACCCTAACTTTAGGAATCCAAAGATGGATTTTCTATGTATTTTGGTCAACTTCATCTCAGAGCTTCTGTGTCCAGTAAAGTTGTAAATCTGAAAAGAAAAGCAAATTTGGGTGACAAGACTCAATGCTATCAGAGTGGATGGTAAAAAATGAATTTCAAAGCAGATTGAAGAAATCTGTGTTTGGAATAGGAAGAAGCATGATTCTATCTCATGACTAACAAAGTAACAGCAACCATGCATGGAGCAAAAAAAAAGCATTATAAGCTTTACCAGCTATCGATGAGTGGTTCAAGAGTGTTTTGTAGCATTCATTTGCAAACATGCAGGCGTTTGCAAATGAAGTGCAGTTGAAGAAAGAGATCAAGTGACAACTGAAACATGGGAGGGAAATGATCAAAACAAATAAGCTCTGCTTTGCAGTTTACCTCGTTGCAAATCGAAAGAGTGCTAGAAAGAGACAAAGCCTGTTGAGCCCAGTAGGCTAGTCTTTGCCTTTTTGTAGACAGGGTAGCAAGCTTTGTAGTGTTATGCAAAATCTCTTGATCAATTTTTATTACTAATCAGATTTTAAAAAGTAGAGCAGTTCCACCCAAGAAAAAAACAAGAATAACAAGACTGTCCTGTTCTTTGGGGTCAAGCAGCAGTGCTCTTCTGCCACATTTGGAAGAGAAGTCTTTTCCTGTGAAACGAAAGGCTACATAAAGGGAAGTTTGCATGTTCAATTACGTCAGCCGGCCTGCTGGAAGATCCTGCCAGCTCCTCCTACTAATCTTTCTCTTAAAAGGCACTTCTTACTAGTATCACAGTACTATACCTTCATGGAAAATCAAAGATGTGTCCTATTAAGGTAAAAGCTTTTTCTTTTAAATCTTGTTTCTCACTATATAATTTCTGCTCAGACTATTCCTGTGTGATGAAATCTAATCAAACCGCACGCTTGCGGGAATCTGTGCAAATACTGCCTCCTGGCGACTGCTTGTACGGCTACAGGACAGGGAAAGGTGTAACCTCAAATGGCTTCTCAAGTTTGTATTCACAGACAAAAATCAGAAGAGAAATAAATTTCTATTTATTTTCAGAACAGACGTAATTAATCTGTATTTGTTATTTAACAAGGAAGCGTTTTCTTTGCAAGAACTGTTAGAGCTAATTAAGTCTCAAATTCTGCAACATCTCAGTCTGTCTTTACCGTGAGAGTAAAATGGCTGAAGTTTTTCTGTTAATATAGCCAGGTCAGCTCATATATTAAAAAATCATATGGCATACAGTGTAGACAAACTTTTTAAATTATAAGGAACAGGACAGTAAAGATTTAGGGGGCAGGTAATGAAGGTAAAACTTAAAACATCTCTAAACACTTACCTTTTTCTTGCCTCCCCTCTAACACTACTCTGAAGTCCCAACATTTTAGAATGCAGAATTTCCTAAGTTTAATTCTTATCAATTTAGAAATTTAACCAGACCTCGTTAAATCTGCCTACTGGTGTGTTAATCCTACACAGTGAGTGATACAGAGGCAAAGAGACACTGTGTTCAGTATTAAATGCCACGCAATACTAAATGCTATGCAACACTGCATCTACCTCATAGCAGGAAAGAATTTTGCTGATCTCACAGGCATGCAGCACTGCATCCATCATAGCCACTGCTTTCTGCAAGGCTAGACCTTGCCAGGTTTCTGTCTGCCATTCTGGCAAGAGTGCCCCATAACTAAACAGCAAATCAAGGCTATGCTCTTTAAACCTTCTACTGCCTTTCCTGGTGCTTTTATTCATATGAGAATGCTTGTCTCAGACAAATAATTGTTATTCCACACTACTTTCATACTACTACACCTATGTTTAATGTGACTGGTTCTGCTGGTTCTGCTAGGCATACAGGATTCTGAAAGATAATTTGCACCACTGACCTGAAAGACAATTTGCTTTTTATTTTGGACCCAAAGTTGTATTCATACTGATACAGCAGCACAAAGGGATAGAAAGTGGATTAGCTGTGTTTGCCTGGAAATGAAGCAATCCTTGAGTGGCATAAAGAGGGTAGGCCTGACTCTTGCCCACCAGCTTTTTCTCAGATGTGAGAATATGGAACATTGCAAAGCTGTGAAAGCATAAGCAGGACAGCTCACACTCCAGTTGCCTTTGGATGGAGAATTAAAATAATTCATCAACTTTGTCATGTAAACTTGTGCATAGGAGTATGAAAGTAAAGAATTATGGTTTGTTCATGCTTTACATTTATGCTGGACAGAATTGTTATGAACTGCCCAAGTAACAGTGTAGCAACTCAACTTTTTGATTTTTACTTTCAATTTTTACCAGAATATTTAGTTTAGAGTACCCTGAGGTGTTACTGAAAAGCTGTGTCAGGAAGTTGTCCTCAGCTAAGAATACAAAGGAGATAGGAGTATGCCCAAATGGTAACTGTCAGCATTTCTCAAACTGTATGCAGAAAACTGTTGGCTGTACAAGGATTTGGCCCTTGGTTCAAAGTTTCATGCAGAAGCCATGCGGAAATCCTATGCAAACCTGATTAGCTATTTTGGTCTCAGTAATATACATAGAAAATCACGGGTCTAAATCAGTACTCCCTTGATTCATTCACTTGGCATATCAGACAGCTGAGTACTCAAGGCTGGCACACCAAGGGACTTCACTCCAAACCTCTGAGGTGGTGAACTTCCCTGCAGCACAGCTGAGTAGCCAGGATCAAGGTAAACAGACTTGGTAGCTAACTACAGCAGCAGCTCTAGAAGTAAGGATGAACTGCATTCACTATTGGATTTGAATAATATCCAGTATATGGATATAATATTCTATGATTCTATGATTCTATGCCTTCATTATTCATGGCTCAGTTTCATAGTCTGGCTAGAACAGATCTGTCTTAAAATTGGGTGTCTGGATAACAAACAGTTATTTGTCTGAGGCATAAAGAGATTTCTGAGTAACATACATTACTCAGCTAGCTAGTCTTAGCTAATAAATCAAAGTTCTTCTCATTCTTTTGTCCTAATATCCTGGCCTCGTTTCTAAGAGTATTGTCTAAATGTGTGCTGTGCATGTGATAGCATTACTTATGAATCCTCTCCTACAGGCACCCTACATCTATAAAAGGCGCTTTGCAGATGCGTCTGGTAGTACATTCTTCAGTTTTTTCCTACTCACACAGAACATATACATCAAGCTTCTATAAACCAGCGAAAAATCACATTTACAGGAGCACAGAGTGACATCTTTGTTATAATCTTCAGTGACCTGATACACTGAATTCATTAAAATAATAGAATGTGTCATACTCACAGCTCAAGTTTTCCTTACACATGGAAGACACTATTTTCTATGTGAAAACCTGCTGCCCCTCAGCGGTTTCTAAAGGAAACAGCAGAACAATGCCATCGATCACCCAGAACAATAAGCACCTGCTTAGAATCTGGGTTCTTTTGGTTAATAACTAAATTAACAGTTAATTAATACAGTTAACTATTTGTTTAATAACTAAAGAACAGCACGATGTCAAGGAACAGTGAACTGATGACAGTGTCAAGTTGGTCTACATATTTCCTGGCCCTACTACATATACCTTCTTCCATCCATACAGTTTTTACTGTCATTTCCCATAGGGTGACAAAGAACTTTGAGTTAGATGGTAAGTGGCTAGGTCACAGTGGATCCTGGAAATGTCAAGGACGGAGATGCTATAATAAAAAAATCGTGAAATTCTTCAGAAAATAGGCCCTGAATTCAGAAGCATTCAGTGTTTGCAGCTGCACATGGAGTCAATGCGACCTGCAAGCTGTTTGCATGACCAAACCAAAACTCTTCACCAAGTAAAGAAAATAAGATTGGGATTCATCATCAGAAATACCATCTAGTCTCTGCAACCACTAATATGACAAATAAACAACAAGGATGTAGAAGATTGCTATGTTAATGAAAGTGCAATTCATCTGAGGAAGCTTATATAATTGGATTACATTTATATAACCTCCCTTCTTGCAATATCTCACAGCTCCATAGTCTCTTAAAGTGTTTAATTTTTTAAAGGAATCCAGTGAGGTCAATGGCTACTGAACACCTATTTTATAGCTGGGAAGCCAAAGCAAGTGAATGAACAGAGGCTACATTCAGACTGGCTTCTTTAAGTTAACTTCACTATCATAAATACTTCCTCCACTGGTGCCACTAGAAGGTGGGTCTTCCTCTCTTGCATAAACAGTACTCTGAATTGCTGAGCGGCACACTCTTAAACCTGAATGCCACAGCAGTTGTGAAACCAAAGGCTTGTACCGACAGCAAGTGGTCTGAACTTCTCCATGGTCATGCTGAGTTTGAAGCAGAGCAGAAAGCTGACATTGGATGCTTCCCAAGTCCCACAGGTCATGCAGGAAAAATTTGGCAGAAAGCAGGATTCTGAAAGTGATCATTTAATGTAAGGGCTGTTTTAGGTGAGTCAGAGGAAAGCACAGTCCCCTCACCCAGCTTTGTAAGGTCCTGTTGGAGCTTCTGGCAGATCTTCACAAACTCACTTTGCCCTGGCATTCCATTCTTCTCAACACTGAGTTAGCTCCCTCTGCTCTCCATGACATTTTTTGTCATTTAAGCAACCAAGAGCCTCATTTTCAATTCAACTGAAGATGATTATAATTGATGTGAATTATGCAAAGCCTTTTGTCGCATTTTCCATTCTGGCTCATTTAAAGCTCTGGATCTGAAACCCCACTCTGTAAAGCTCTGGATCTGAAACACCACTCTGTACTGCTGTTCCAGGTCTGGATCTGTACAGCAGTCCCATTTCTAGTTTCAGAAATCTTTGTCTGCTTGATCATACTTGTAATTATGATTTGTATGAATATAAGTCACTACATTTAAATCTGAGTCAGTGGATGAATACCATCAGATGAAACTGTCCTTTAGTAAGTCCTCTGCAATCCATAAATAACTCTGCTGAAAGCATAACAAAGGCCCTTTGTGTTATTGCACAGTGGAGCCAAAAACGTTCTTGAAGCAAAGTTTGTTTTCAATATAATTACATACAGCTCATACATAAAACAGCTTGCTGTGCCGAAGCCAAAAATGTAGCCCTTTAGATTCCATGAACATCTTAATATATTTACATTAACATTAGAAACAAATGTATGGTAAGACCTTTTATATTTCACTGGTTACTTTCTTTTATTTTCTTTTACATATTACTTCTCATCTAAGGACACAATCTTGCAACAATCTTACTGCTGGCGCAAATGTCTGCCTGTACAAACAGCCTTGCAGCACTGGGAGTTCAGTCAGTGAATTCAGGGCTGTTTTGATACCTTTTAGTATAGTGCCTGTTACTGATCCTGACTGTAGACTTAAAAATCTGCAGAAACTGAAGCAAATATATTTTCAAATACAACATAAAATACTGTAAATAAAGACCTAGGGTTCGTGATTTGGTTTTGTTTTATTTTTCTTGGTTGGTTGGTTGGTTGGTGTTTGTTTGTTTGTTTTGGAGAGGTTGTTTGTTTGGTTTTATTTTGGGGGGGGGGGGGGGGGTGTAATATTGGGTATGCTAAGAACAGGAGGATGTATTCAAACTTTCCAGTGAAAGCACCTAACATTTTATTTTAGCAAACTTGAGTATGTCCTTACCTACCTCTAGCAGCTGAAGCATCCCGTCAGGATGATCCATTTGGAGACTTCTCGACAATTAAACGATCAGTCTGCTGTTGAAATGATGGAAACAACTTTGGATCCACCAACACTGGTGAGAGAAACAGGCAATACTCCTTACAAGAAAGTACCATAATTCAGCTAGGAAATTTTGTTCCTTAGTCATTTGTTCTTACATCCCTGCATTCTTCTGTTCTGCAGTATAATGACTGCAGAGTCAGATTCTGACAATATCCTAATTCTTCACTGTATTTTCTCTCGTATTTCAGCATTTAATAGCTTTCTTTTTGAAGAGCACTAGTGTGAAAGCAAATGATGATAATCCACAGTTCCATCTCATTCCTCAGTAGCATATGTTTTTCTGCCACTACAACACCTGGGCTTGTATGGTTCCAGGAAGAATCACTTTTTACAGAAATATATTATTTTCCCTTACAGAAATCTGTAGTCAAAGGGTTGCTACAGTGACTCATCTCATCCTCATCATCACTCCTAGTGATAGGACACAAGGGATGTGATAGCTGTAACACAATGAGAGGTGGAACAGAATGAAGGACAGTGGTAGCTGAAATACTTCAGAAATACATAAATGCTGCCCTTCTCTACCGGTGATCTATCAAATCCCTGGAGACTTCAGATCAAGGTAGCCAAGATTTGTGCAGAGCAGAGTTTAATTTGCTAAGAAAGCATGAACCAAATGCCACCAGAAAATTTTGCTTACTGTTGGGAAAAGTCTCTTTCCATTCCAGCCTGTGGGTTTGTTTTTTTTAATTTTTTCAAGAAGCAAAAGACAGTTCTGACTCTGACACAGCCTACACAACTGGAGCAGTATGTAGCTATTATTTCCACCACCAGCTGGGGACCACATCATCAGACATCCATAGTCCTCTGGTTCTTCCCTTTCACTTCCTGAACTACTTGCAGGAAAAGGAAAAAAAAAAACCACAAAAATATTGCAAGTATGCTACTTTACTGTTACATAGTCTGGCACCTAACAAGGGTAGAGCTAATGCTTGAGCACCACCCGGGCCACCTCTGTCAGGAGAAGAGCAGCTTTTAACAGAAAGCCGTGACTATACAGGAGCTCTGCAGTACGTTATAATAGTAGCTTTGTCCCTCCGCTATTATCACCTGCAGCTGCATATGCTTCATGCTCTACTCATTCTACTGGTAGCAACAACTAGGAGCAATGAAGGCATCCAAAATCTTTTTGTATTTTCTACACACACAAGTAGGCCAGATCAGTCTTGTCCTAAATCACAATTTACATAAACAAAGCCTAGAAATAATGGAATCATAGATGTATTTAGGTTGGAAAAGACCCTTTAAATCATTAAGTCCAACAGTTAACCTAACACTGCCAAGTTCACCACATAACCATGTCCCTAAGTGCCGCATCTACACATCTTTTAAATACCTCCAAGGGATGGTGACTCAATCACTTTTCTGGGCAGCCTGTTCTAGTGCTTGATAGCACTTTCAGTGACTTATTTTTCCTAATATCAAATCATATTATCATGTTGCCATATTAACAATGACAACACAAGATTGCAACATAGGGCATGAAACAAATCTTTCACTAGCTCAGAGGCTTCTGGCTTTGATAGAAACAAGCAAAACTGTGGAATACCTTTTTCAGTGGCACTCAAAGACAGAACCTAGAAAGAAACAAATTAAAAGAACATGTATTTAAAAGGCACATCCACTCTAAAATCTAAAAATTATCTGTTCATTACTTTGCAGAAAGCTAAAATGTAAACTTCATAGAAGTAAGAGAGTAAGACCATAAAATACAATGTCCCTAACCATGATAGACAACAACTTTGTCTGCTTCACGGTAAGGAAAATCACAAGGAAATATTTGGCTTTAGTGGTTCAAATTAAATAGAGCCCTTAATCAAAGAGAAGTAAGACATGCTCCAAGGATCAACACGCATTTTGTATTTATTGCTAAATCTCTAAAAATAAAATAAATGACTGATTGTCTAAGCAGTTTCAAGCTAGCTGGTAAGTTGCACTGACAAAAATACTTCTTCAGCTAACAGCTAGAGGAAAACATAAAGTCAGCCATGAGGAGTATTCTGTGCTAGGGAAGGAATACTCCCCATATACATTCCAAATGTATGTAACAAATAAAGGCTAGCAAATATGGAATCCAGCAGAGAAGAACCTACAAGATATCCCTTTAAATAGAAAACTACATCAGAAAACAAAAAATTAACAAAGGATTTTTTTACTCTTGAAACTTTAAATAATGGGAAGAGTCTACCAAAGCAGGACTACCTGCAGCAAACTTCAAGTAATGCTTCACTTCAGTCTTGGTACACCCTAACTATCCATGTATCTCTAGAAACTGATAACACACTGGCAGTCTGGACCCTAAATTCTATCTTTAGTAATTATCTGCCTGCACTTCAATACAAACTTCAGACTTAAATGATGAAAATAATGATCAAATTCACTAGTCAACCAATGGGGAAAGAAAACCTAGAAAAGTTGACCTGAAATTCTTACTGAAAAGTGTCATTAAAATATGTGGCACTTAGACAAACCAGTTCTCACCGAAGAACAATTCCAGAAGCAGAACTAAACCCCTGTGTTTTATTTGGTTTGCTGTGATAGAGCCATAAAGAATATTCTGTAGTTCTCCAACAGCTAAGCTCCCAGTGAATGAGTCTTTGATCTGTGGGCAATCACAGCACTTCACTGAAGTTGCTGGTATGATAATTATCTTCTATTTAGCCTATTTCAGGAAAAAATTTAGAGGGACCCCTTTGTTCAATGATGGCTAAAATTGCAGCAAATCAGTCACACAAGGACTAAGCCATGCTGAGGGTGGGGCAAGAGCTGAGCAGTAGGGTCCCATGGGTTCTCCCCAAATGTGGGAAATAGCACAGAGGTATGGGATTGATTTGAATGCAGAACAGTGTGTGGTGTGTGTGTAGGCATTCATATGTATACATGTTTTTTACAAACAGAGCAGCAAAGAGAAGCTCTGCAGATGCGGACAAACAAAAAAAGCAAAGTAAGACACAACCAGTGAAACAGTGGTGGGAACATGGCTATGAAGAAAACTAAAGCAGTGTTTGGGCCGTCTGCTTAAAAAGGCTTGGAACTGAGAACAGAGAAACTTGCTGCTATTACTTGAGTATATGCTCAAAAGAAATATGCTCAGCCTCTCTAAAAGCCCTGGATTGCATCATAAAATACCTATCTGCATCTTCATTTTCTTCTACTACTAGAAATACCCTGTGACTCCTACCAAACCGACAGACTATTCATGCCAAGATGAAGAAACAATATTTAAATAGAAAACATGGGAAGCTGTACAGAAACTGGAACTAAAATCTAAAATCAGAAGATAATCTGGAATGTATCTGCAACTAGTTTAATTCCTGGGGTTTGGGTGTATGCTTTTGAATTTCAATTTATGAAATTGAAATAAGGAATGTCTTCAACTACTTGATTTATGAAAGGTGCACAATTCCATGTTCTTAATGCCTATATAAAGCTGTTGAATAAAATCCTAGGTTAGAATTCAGTTTTGATACAAATGGACTTCCTTAGTGCCTTCTCTAGCAGCCAGACTCCTAGCTCCAGAATGCAGACTGCTGTCTGTCTCACCTGCCCTTTCCCCAGCTCGCCTATCAGGAAGGAAACTGTATGCATATACAGACAATATTATTGAGAACAGCAGAAACTGTTACTGACTAAAATCACTATATTGGAAAAGAAAATATACTCCATAGATATTACAGATCAGTTACACAATTTGCTTGATTTCCTCTAACAAAAAAAAAAAAAGGCAGAAAAAGAAAAAAAAAAGAAATAATGCAGTGATTTAAACAGATCCATAAATTACAGTGTATTTCAGGGTATCTGTGCCACTCCAGACACTATTTTGACTGAGGCACAAACCTATAAATTTGCTGAACACTGGAATGTACTCAGAATATTATTTTCCTCCCTGTTACTGCAAGGGCTTAATAGAGGTTGAAAATGGTCCCCCTTTGATAAAGATGATTCCGCACTGGGATCAAAAAACTGAAAATGTCTCACAGGAACTGGGAATTGTAATTAGAAATCAGAAATAACCTCTGCAATTGGCAGTGCCAATTGCAAAACGAAAAGAAAATGAAACTAAAATGTAAGCAGAAAAGAGCTGTTCACAGACAAATCCATAAAGATTATTGCTTTCGTTTAAATTTCAGTGATTTTTGAAGGAAGGAGATAAGAAAATAAAGTACCTTTATCTCTATGATATATATACTCATAAGCAAGTGAGAAAACAACTTGGAACTTTAAAAAATATTGCAGGATCAAAATTTCAAATCAATTTTGTCATACACCAAAAACATTTTAATGCTTTTAATTACATTGTCTAAGGAAAATGTAACAGAGAAAACCCTTTTTTTAATTAAAAAAAAAAAAGTGTTGGATTTTAATTGAGACACGCAAAGAAGGCCAAGCAACAAGAATACAAGTCATGAAATTAGAGAGCAAAGAGAAAAACAATAACCAAATTAGGAAGGAAACAAAAGTAGGGAAAGTAGAACAGGAGGAAAGAGTGAAACAAAATACTCAGCTCTTACTGCAGTGCTCTGAGAGTTTTTCTGTTTCACTTCTCTTTAACACTCACCATGTCCTCCCCGAGTGTTTCACAACTGTAGAGATGCATCATTATGAAAATGTATCTGCATCACAGCATATCCTACATTTTTTCAACCTTCCTTTTCCTTGACTCTCTTCACACCTCCATCATAGACTGCAATCCATTAAAATTATTTGTTGTGCATTCCTGAACCATCAA